CTATTTTACTATCTATGTTTGTTTACTTTCATCATATATAAAGAACCATAGAATAATTTGCATTGGAAGGGACCACACTCAAAGTGGGTCTAACTTCAGCATTACATCAGGTTGCTCAGGAACTTGTGCAGTCAAGTTCTGAGCATCTCGAAAACTGGAGATTCTATAATCTCTCTGGGCAGGCTGGAAAAGAATAAAAAGATGAGGAACCCAAACAGAAAGTCAGTTTTGCCTTCTGAGATACATGTGTTCCTGCAATATTTGGGTTTCAAAACCAACTCACATTCCCTTTACATTTCCTCTTAAACAATTTTGATGTCAGGTAGTTGTTTTTTTGGTACATCTCACATTATAAATACTATCAGAAGTATACAATGATGTTTTAATTAACTTCTGTTTGGTTTGTTGAACAAAGCTGTCAGTATTTTGTCCTTTTTTTGACTCATTTTTAAAAGAATGTTTTTGCTATATGCCTCTAAAAAGCTGATAGAAATAAACAATATGTAAATACTTAAATCTTTGTTGCTTCTACAGACTTTCAAAGGAATAATGCAAACACTACTTCTTCCATGGACTTACACACACTGAAAAAGTTCAGAACAGAGTCTATTACAGCTAGATATTCATACAGTCTTTCTTTTAGTGCCTTTGGTGCAAAGCTGTCTACTCTCAGACACTCCAGCTAGCACTTCAATCAGAACAGTGACCACTACGATGCACTTCAACTCCCTTTTACAGACTTCTGTGTTTAACTTATCACATTAGAAAGTTATTTTACCAAATTTGCTCAATTCTCTATCTTTTATTTCACAGCTAAGCCCTTCCCCCCAGAGTACCCGCAGAGCTAGAGAATCACAGTAAAGCATTTATTCCCTCAGTCAGGAAGAAAAGCAGTATTAGTTTTCCCATTATTTCAAATTGGAAACGCTTCCCAACATCAAAAGTGCCAGAGAAGTGAGCTGAAGGTTAAACTAAAACTTATCTGACACTAATAGCTGTCATCCACGACGGTCTGGTTGCAGGCCAGGACAAGAAGCTGAATTACAACGGTGACTACAGCAATGAGCCCTGTGGCTAGTGGAGAAATGGTAGATAACCATCTTCACTCTTGATTCTGCTAGGACTTACCGGTTTCTGAGAGCAGAAAAGAAGGTAGGACTAAAATCCAACACAGCAAAAGTGTGGTAGCAGTGTCAGTGCCCTTAAAAGGAGCTCTAGCTGGAGTAGCTGACTGAAGGGAAACTTCTGGCCCAGTCTCTCCATTCAGAGCACTAAAGTTCTCCCAAACTCCCCTTTGTTGAGCCCGCTAGCTCAAGTAGTCTTCTCAGTGATAACACAAAAGTATTAGGAAACTTAGTTTGACAGCAATGACTAAATTAGATGGCATTAAGTTTACTTGCCCTCTGCCACACACACCTACATGCCAGCAGAATTAAGGTGGCCCAGAGCTGAGGAGATGAACTCAAGCAAGGCTATGACAGTGCATGGGGCACTGAAAAGCATCTCAAAAGCTCTGGCAGTATAACACCGTTTCCTTTGACAAAAGGGTGACTCCCAATTAGTTAGTTAAAGCTAAGTGCCAGCTTCCAGTGCAGTGCTAAATGATCACGTGAGAATCTGTATTAGTACTAGAGACAGTTATATGAGAGCACAATACACCACACAGCATGAGAGGCTTTCAGCTTTACTGTAGAAGTCCATTAACTGGTGCAGTCTAAAATTCTTCAGGGCTAATCCAATGAAACCTCATAGAAACCAGATCTCAGCATCTTCAACTCCATCCAGTAGTGAGGATAAAAACAAACATAGCAATTTGTATAACTGATATAGGTTAGAAAAAGTCAAAATCAGTCTACCTACTTCCACCCTGAAGAAGGCTTAAAGCATTACTGGACTTCTTTCCCTTTCAACAGAGACTAATACTGAGGTGCTCCGGTTACACAGAACTGATGCACAGACTTTGTTTTTTAGTATCGTTTAGGATCAGGAGCTAAGTACAACTGATTTTTTAATAAGCATTTGAAAGTATTACCCACATTCATGAAGACATAGGAGAAATATGACAAAACCCAAGCAATTTCCAAAATGCTGCTCTTCTTATGCTGTCAATGCTGTTTAGTAACTGCTCATTTATTTACTATACACATACAAGATCTGCCCTCCTAAGTCACTTCAAAATTCCATCATCTCAGTGATAGATGCACAGAGACAAAGTTAAAGAAACAAGATAAATATACAGCAATATCTACAACTTCCTGAGCCATGAGTCACGTCTGGAGAACCATATTTAATAGCCACTGATGGCCATACGCTTCCTTTTTTTGAATCCACTTAAAACTTCTACTCAGAACCTACACGTTAACTGCAAGACAGGGAAAACACCCAAAAAGACAAAAGCAAAATGGTGTGCATCTTTAGTAGACATGTGATATAGTCAACCCTCATGACATCACGTTTCACCAAGTTCAATCGCTAAAAGCAGAGGAAAAATATTCCACAAATGAGGTCTCACCCCCTCCCTGACATGCAAAATCAGTGCAGCTCTGTATGACTACTATGTGTGTGGATGTGCAAGCACAAATACACATTACACATACACACAGTTCTGTGCAGGCTTTTTCACTTGACTTAAGACTAGATAAATGTCACAGACTAACTTGCTCCTGTTATTACTAGGATTTGCAAGCAAAAGCCCACTAACATTAAGAAGTTTCTCTAAAGAAATATTTTGGTTTCTGTTAAACATGTGACAGAACAATGGAACATTACTCAGTTTTGCTCTCAAAGGAATACAAATCCTATAAATATATGCGAGACGGATACAGACATTTGTCCTACATATATTCCTGGGATTTCTTAATTGTATTGGTCTGTCTCAAGCAGTGAGAGCTGCTGGCCCATAAAAGGAATTACGAGCACACCTTGTTTTTGAATTGCAAGAAGGTCCTAACCAAGTGTTCATTTATGTTATCTTATTACCAGTTTTCTTCTGGAAAAGTTATATCTCTTGTCCACATATCCGTGCTGCCTTATCTCTGCTGTCTATGAAGGGTAAATGCCTTTATTTGCATGTGCCTTATAACACAGAGAAAATACATGCTGTAATTTAAAATGTTTCATTTACTTTAAAAAAAAACCGAAAAACCAACCAAAAATCTCCCTTTAATATTATTTTTAGCAAGCAAAAAGCATCAGGCCCCCTTTAAAGGTATACCAACAGTTTTGGCCACACACTAAAAATTATTTGCTTTCTCTTTTTACTGACAGACCATTTAAGAATATTCTTCTTATGTGAGTGTCCCCTTCTCTTCAATAATTCCATTTTGTTCCTCCAGATTAACTTTACCTTCCCACACAAAACACCTACTCTCTTTGTATTTAAAGGCTTCCTTTGTTTGAAAGGCTTCCTTTGTTTGAAAGAGGGTTACTGGTTTTGGTACTGTACAACGATTTTTTTCTACTATACAAGGCTTGCTACTACCTAGTCACTACTAGCTACAAATCTAAACCATGTAGTTGCTGCAGATCATTCTCTAACAGTGTTCCGCAATCAGCTGAACATGAAAATCTATGCTGAACTATTAAATGCTCCTGTAGAAATAGGAAGTATTCAGTTCTGTCACTTTGAAGTCCTACTGATTTGAACCAGAATTAGTGAAACACAGGAGGTACCCTCTGAACATCAGGAAACACTTGTTTTACTGCGAGGGTGACTGAGCACTGACACAGGTTGCCCAGAAAGGTTGTGGAGTCTCCACCCTTGGAGATATTAACAAATGGCCTGGACATGGTCCTGGGCAACCAGCTCTAGACGGCCCTGCTTGAGCAGGGGGGTTGGACCAGATGACCTCCAGAGGTCCTTTCCAACCTTGACCATTCTCGGTTCATTCAGCTATCAAGACACCCGAGAGATCATATCTTAAACAGACTCATGAGAAATAAGCAGCTACTACCATTTCAGCAGCTCACCTCTGTCCACATGCACCTAATATCTGGTTCAGTGGAACTACTCAATAGGATGATATACCCTTTGAGACTCATACCAAGTCTGGTTTTTAGGGTTAGCGTAAGTATGCAGGAACACTTTTTTACAGGACAAAGAGAAACATAACCTTATAAAAACTACTACAGAAATAGAAATACCAGTAATCTAACTGGTATCATCAAGTTGGTCTTGGTGTCAGCTTATTTACACCTTTCCCCATCTCCTTACTTGTTACATGTCTTCCTAAATATTATTAGAATAATCAGGAAAGGGGCCATCTGTCAAAATTAATTTCTCTGCTGACTACTGTGATGGGATCTTGACCCTAAATAGGACTCTAAAAATTAATACACAAAAAAAAAAATAAAAAATCATACTGGGACTAACCAGAAAATATCCGGAATGTAACGCATTATTTTCACTAGCAGGTTGACTCAATGCTGCATGTGGTTGTATAAAGCAACCACAAATACGCATTCGTATGCCACACAACTACTATGGCACTGAATTTGCACATGGAAAAGAAACTATTTATTGAAATAAACACGTGGTTATGTTCCCTGCCAAAGATCCACTCTCCAAGGTCTAATTTAGCAGAATTCTTTCCCTTCCTCTGGAGAACATCTGAAGGGTTCTCCCCCACAATGAAATCATTCCCTGAAAGAGCCACATGGTGTTTACTTTGGCTATGGCTAACAGTTACGTACTATCAAACACATACAACTCAAATAGGGTAATGAAGTTTTTTTACTCATCATTTACTCAACTCATTTTGATGAAGTAAAGAGTCGAAAACATGATTTTAAGTAATGCTTTTCTCATTAAAAGAAAGGCCAGAAATACAAGAAACTTAGCAACCACTCCTTTCTTTGCTTTAATGACCTCCTCTCTCCAAAAACCGATGACGTGAAGAGAAAAATCATTACTTTTCTCCCTTACCGACAATGTGAGAGCCAATATAGAACTTATTCAGTCAAAGTATCCTTTCAAAAAAAAAAAAATCTAAGATACTTACGGAGTCCAAACCTTCGGAAAGGCAGCAATTTCTTCTGGTGTATATTCGTCTAACCTCCTGGGGACTACACGTGGCTGAGGAATCTCTTGTAGAAGATTCTTCTGTATATCCTCTGGAATAACCTGAGACAAGCAAGAACTGCCTTAGCTACCTGATTGTTTAAAACCCACCACCACTCCCCCCTGCAAATCCAGACCAAAATTTGTCAACACTGCTACATTCTTCATGCTAAGTATTTGACCTAAATACAGAAGACAACCTCTTAATCTTCTTATGACAAGAGTTTTGCTATTGCTAACCCTCCCTCTTCACCTCCAAATCACCCAGGAATGAAAATGTAACTGCATGACTACTCACATCTTCTGGGAACAGGTGCAGCCTCTGCATCATAGTTCTTCTCTGAAGGTTTTTGGGAAGCATTCTATAAACAGTCAGTTTAACAATCTGAGGAAAGATAACATGGTAACAAATAATCAGACAGGCTACAAATAACATGGAAAAGGTAAGCTGTGTTTCCCTCTGCCCATTCCACTAGCCACTGAACCTCTTTTCAGTCAACTTCTTCCATGCTGAGGAACTCTGGCACCACAATCAGAAGGTGCTCTAGACTTAATGTTCTGAAGAAGAAATACTTCCTCCAAGTCACGTAAACATTTAGTCTAACAACCACATAGAAAATTTCAGCTTGGAAAGTTAAGAGCTATATTAAGCATTGTGGATGATTGCGTATGATCATTCAACTTTGAAAAGAATTGAGAAGCTTGTGGTAACTCCGTATCGTCCTCCACATTTATATACACACATTATTGGGAAAAAAAAATGGGCTCTAACAAATCTACCAAGTGTTTCCAGCAACTACTTTAACAATATAATTTGTTGTGTTTGAAATTTCTATGTAATTAATGCATTGTAACTTAAGCAAAGCTAACATACCAATACGTTGCATTATGAACATACTATATATATGTATTTATAATTTATTCCCTTACTATTAGTTCCAGATGAACGATCTCACTTCTGAGCATCAGGAAGAAATAGAATTTGTACATCTACCCTAGATGACGCTTACTGAAGAGTAACAAAGTTCAACAGGATTTCTCTTGGACTCTAGTACAGATGCCTGAAATTTAACTACAAAACACATTGCTATGGACTTGAACCAAAAGGGAACATTTGTAAATGTAGAACAAGGCATGCAACTGTAGGAGACAAAAAGAGTTTTTTAAAGGACAGCAAAGCATTTAGGGGTAGACCTATGTGCAATTTTTTAAGTAGAAGGAAGCCCACCTGTGCTCCAAGCCACCTAGACATAAACTAGCTCCAAATCCAGGCATGCTTAGCACAATGTTAAGCTGAAGTCAATAAGCCACGCTGAAATGCAGTGCACTATGCACAAAACATCTCCCAACATCTCCCAAACATCCAAGCATCCAGATATTTTGAAAAGTGTATTGGAGCAAAGCTGCTTCTTTTTATAAAATTAAAGGAATTAAATTGAAATTTGACAGACAATCACTAATACTGAGTTCCCAGCTGGAACCATGTAGTTAAGACAGAATGATTAATTGTTGCAAGTGAAATTAATGGGAAGTGCAGGGTCTTCAACTTGCAGGCATTTCTACTTGTATTCTGAAGTTAGTAAACACTCAAGATAGTTTGGCCTCAGTATTATTTTCATTTTGCTATATAACAGACAGTGTCTTAGGACCCTCATAAATATATACTATATGGCTTGAGAAACTCTGAAAAAATCATGAAGATTTTCATATGTTATGCAGCCAGTACCACAGATCTGTGGAAAAATACAATAAATCAAGATGATAGAAGAAATACATCAGGTCGGGCAGAGCAGTCTATAGTGTTGATACCTTCTCTAATAAAAATTAATAAGCAGCTATTAAACAATGATGAAAACTAATGCTTTTAGGGATAAAAACTGTTCATGCTTGTACAGCAAACTACAGTTTATTTAGTCAGTATACCATGTGCTTAGACAAAGGCAAGATGAAGATAGAAACTGAACCTGGTTGCTGGTTTATTTCACCAAATACTGAAAATCAAGTGACACACCATAACAATATAAGAAAATACAGAGTTATTAACAGCAGCTCATGTGAACAGCCCTTTTACCATTAGTAATTTTCTTTTCGTACACTTATTTTCATTTCTACCCAGTATTTTTCCTTTTAGCTGATGAAAGATCAAAATACATCAGACCTAAAACGACAGATCCAGAGACTTCACAACGTACTGGTTAACTGTGGGGATTTTCTTCTTTATCTAAAAACTACTTTTAACTTCAGACTGTGATAGAACCAGTGTTGATTCCTTAGATTAATAAACTGTACATACATATGGTCATTCAACATATGACCTACAGATACACAGCAAGTTATTTAATGATTTTACCCCAGTGAAAAGAGAGACTTTAAAACACTTAAATGAGCACTGTTAAACATTTTACTTCTTCAAACAACCAATGTTTGTGTCCAATTTTTCATCCTCCTCTGCAGCATGTGGCACAGATCTGTTGAAACAAACCAGTGAGCTAGACGAACAGCTGGTCTATTCTGGTTGTACGTACTTCTGCCTGGTGAATCTGGTCCAATTTTTTTAGCCACATTACAAAGAGAACAGTTCACTTGCAAAAATGAGCCTATTAAAAAGTCACACTGGAAAAGAATGATTGATTTATATGTTCAAGTTAAATAATGAAGAAATACTTTCAATGTTGCGTGCAGTCACTGCAGAACTGATGGCCTCAGGTGACAACAGACTAACATGAAAGCAGGACTTGGAGAATGAAATGGATAATGAATGATCATGGATAATTATATATTCAATAACAGTTTCTATAGATAAGTATGCTAAGTGCAATAAGCATAATCCAAGGTATGATTTGGTATGTCTGCCAATCTCCATGCTGTTCAAGAACTCATTTGGCTTTCTGTGCCCTCTCACACATGCAAGAAGCACATTACTGCATGATCCGCAACAGAAAAATCACCCTCACATGAAGCACAAACCATTTTTTACTGCCAGGAAGACCACCATCAATCCCACTGTAAAAAATTCCTTCCTTCTATCTAGCCTAAGTCTGCTCCCCTTTAATTGAAAATCATTACCTCTTGTCCAAGCACTACAGGCCCTGCTAAAAAGTTTGCCCCCATCTTTCTGAGAAGCCCCCTTTAAGTACTGCCATAAGGTCTCCTTGGAGCCTTCTCTTCTCCAGGCTGAACAACCCCAATTCTCTCAGCCTGTCCTCGTAGGAGAAGTGCTCCAGCCTTTGGATCATTTTCATGGGCCTCCTCTGGACCCACTCCAACAGGTCCATGTCTTTTCCCATGCTGAGGGCTCCTGAGCTCGACACAGCACTGCAGGTGGGGTCTCACCAGAGCGGAGGAAAAGAGCAGAACCCCCTCCCTCACCATGCTGGCCACGCTGCTTTTGATGCAGCCAGGATACGCTTCGCTTTCCAGGTTGTAAGCACACATTGCTGGCTCACGTCCAGCTTTTTGTCCACCAGTATCCCCAAGACTTTTGCTGCAGGGCTGCTCTCAATCCTTTTATCCCCCAGCCTGTGTTGATACTGGGGGTTGCCCCAACCCAGGTGCAGGACCTTGCACTTGGCTTTGTTGAACCTCATGTGCGTCGCATAGGCCCTCTCCTCAAGCCTGTCCAGGTCCCTCTGGATGGCATCCCTTCCCTCTAGAGAATCAACTGCACTGCTCAGCTGGGGGTCGTCTGCAAATCTGCTGAGGGTGCATTTGATCCCACTGTTTACGTGACTAATGAAGATATTAAATCCTTGCCTAATCTGAAGCAGGAAACTGAACTTCCCTGTTACCACTTCCCTCATTCCAGAGCATCAATGCAACTGAATGAATTCTCAGAGAAAACAAACTTGTAACTTACTAAGTATACATTTCAAAGAGCTCATTTTTTAATTGCATGTTTTTGTGGTTATCATAGAGCCTTTAATGTCTGAGTCACCTGAAAATATGTCGTCTATACGTTACACCCATGCGGAGAACAAGAGAGAGGAACAATAACCTTGGGTTTGAGCACGCATGTTCCCTGTCCCAGCAACTCATGGTAGGAGCGAAGAGGGAATAAAGCCTTGGCCCTCTGCAGCATATCATAATTTCCTTGCTGGAACAGGTCAAAGGCAGATTTATACCTTTCACCCCTCAAGCTCATTCACCTTGGACAAGAAGGAAAAAAGGAAAAGGGGAAAAAAAAAAAAAAAAAAAAAAGGAGGGGTGAGGTGCTGATAAACTATTGAGGCTTGTAAAAAGCCAAATAAGCATATTACTAAGCAAGCTGGACTGTAAATTTAAAAGGTCCTGCTATTCTGTACTTCTATTATTTTTTATTATTCATCTACTGCAAGGTAGTTAGTCCAGCTACAGAACAGAAGGCCATAGAGGGAGCTAGGACAGAGAAGGTAGGGCTGGAAAATGTTCATTGCAACTTCTGCCTCAAAGACTTTTCTAGGAGCCAAAGCAAATCCAAACCCAGCTCCTAGGAAGACCAAGTCTACATCCAGCTCCTTGCCCAAAATTCTGCTGACAGCCAGAACCTCACTCTAACTGCTGTGATGACAAGTCAAAGAAGTTAGTAAAGTACAGGCTTCACTGAAGTTGTACGGACTGCTTTTGCAACTCGAGTAAGGTTGTCTAACAGAAAAGGCAGACCCAACCAGCAATATTTACAGGGTGTTAAGTAAGCGCTCTCCTGTTACCTGAACATGCTCAAGTTTTACTAAAAATACGCCATCCCTAAATAAAAAGGTATGGAATTGGAAGAAAAAGTCTATTACTGAGCTCATGCAAAACCCAAACCTAGATTCAATGCTCCCTGAAAGCACACATCAGAACATGCTGTTTCTTTAAGGAATTAACAATAACAAAACAAAACCATCTTTCTATATGCTTGTAATACACTTCTAATCAAAGACAATTCTTATCATTTTCTATGTGATTATGTTTACTTTGAACTATTAAAGTAACAAGAGTTTAATTTTACATGAAAGGTATAAAACCCCATTGATTTCTTTGGGGTTTCAAACTGGCAAAGAGGTCTACCTACCCATAGGTCTCCCTGCAACTTAGTTTAAAAGTAATTAGTACAGTTTAACGGTTTATTCAGTTATTTATGGGTTCCTACTGCCTCCTCTCCCCCTAGCAACCTGTAAAATTCCGTATCATCATAAATACTCCTAAAGACCATGACACTTTCTCCATCAGGCAAAGACATCCACCATCAGATGTATACAATCACCAGAGCGTTAATATTTGGGGACTTTTAAAGTACTGGAATGCTGTTTGCCCCAATTTCTTTTGGATTACAAACTTCCTATTGGCTGTAGTTACAATTGTCAATACCTTTTTTCCAAGTTGGCTAATTTATATACTTACAGCATAGATGTTCCCTTAATCACA